AACTTTTGTCCTTTTTAGATGCAAGACATGATGCAAGTATTAGTGTGTGTGATTTGCTTGAATTAGGAGCTGAGTATAGTACTTGTTTGCAACCAATTATATACCAAACCAGCTTACAAGCTACATAGCATGCATGATTTGAACTATTATGTGAGTACAAGTTTGCAAGTAAGTATGTATTAAACTACTGTATTGTGTTAGTAATTGGTTACCTTTTTGTGGGGTAGGTCCATCAGTATCCTCATTACCTCCACTTGCTTGAGCTCCTTCATCTAAAGAAGATAACATAAATAGATTATGTTGTCTGTTAATATGTGGGCGTTATGAGTAGCAGCTGTGCTTGTTTGGGGGGACAGAGATAAGTTTTCACTCAACCACTACATGTCAGTGGTTCCATATTCAATTTTTTACTATTATCAGCCTAAGCAAAGCAAGAGCCTTAGCTCAAATAACTCATGATAAGTTACATTTATGAGGTTATATTGGTTGTCAGATTTTGCCACGGTAATCTTACCTTTGTTTCCAGCACCAGTTTTTGTAGTAGGAGAGTCAGTTTTTGGCTCTAGATTAAAGTACAGTTAACTTTACTGGTTAGCTTTTACTTACTCATACTTTTAGCTGGTTTCTTTCCTTCTGATGAATTTCCTCCAAACATAGCACCTAAAATAGACATGTACATGTATAACTATCAATATCTACTTGGTATAGGTATACTGCTTTAATATAGAGTATTGCCAATAATCCAGTAAATGGTAAATAAAATTGTTGCTAGTCAAGAATTTTCATTCATTCATTTATTTTTTAAATTACAATGGTGCAAGGCTATCATAAGTTCATATAATTCATGTTCATTATTCTCATTGTTGTCATGGTGAGGATAATGATGCATAATTAAAGTATTGAGATATACACTCACTTATACGTTCAGCTATTGCACCCTTTTCAATTGCTTCAAGTGCCGCACATAATGAATCAAAAGTTGGTTTTCCATGAATTTTATCAACTTTATCAGCTCTCTCCAGCCATTTTGTGAGGCATTTGATGAAACGCTTATCAACACTTCCTTGATCTTTGATATTATCCAGCGTGTATTGATGTAGCCCAAGTTCCCTTCCTAAATCCTCCCAATCTCCGTTATTAAACTCTGCTTCTCTTAACTTTTGCATCACATCTCTTAAATCAGAAACCCTCAGTTCTAAAAGTGAAGTATGTATTGCAAGTTGTTCATATTTCTAATAATTTATGCCATCAGTGGTGCTCTTCATGCAATGACTACCTCTATATGTTATGTGTGTTATGTTTAAACACGTATGACCTCCCTGTATTTACAGATTTGACATTAAATGGAATTGGCTCGTCATTAATTTTACTGACATGAACTTGTTGCTGCCCCTGATGACAACAGCAATACAAAATGATACAGCTAAAGAGCTGCATGAATAATGCACAGTACAGCTACATAGTCAAGCACTCACCTTTTTCCATGTTAGTCAGTTGTAAAAAGAACAGGCAAAGGTTTAGAATGAAGCTCTGTTACTGAAAACTGTCAACAACTTCTCTAGTGGGCAGATACACACTACTGGTATAATATTCCTGCTATCTGATTGTTATCAAAACTTCAACTTCCTGTGTTTAACTTACCAAAGAGTTTAGTAGTATATGATTCACTGATTCACCTTTCCATTTCTTGTGTACTAGAACAAACCTTATACTGCCCTTCTCCTATCCTGTTGTTACTTGAAATGATAGCAATTATTTACTAGCTCCTGGCACCTCTGCCAAAACAATATGCCAATCATTTCAACTCATAATAATTATTTAAAATTGTACTAAGCTGGTATCATTATTAAAGGGTAATATTGTAAAGAGTTTTCAGTTTCTTAGGTATCCTTTCTGCTGCTGCACGGTCTCCTGTTCCCTCCACAGCATCAATCAAAGTCTGCCATGTTCTACTAGTTACATTATCTTCTCCCTCTAGCCATGCTTCTATAGTCACCCTCAAGTGTTTGTATGCATCACCACCTCCTTCTCCAATGACATTGAGTCTTGGCATCAATAGACCGAGCTTCAGGCCCAAGTCCACCCATTTTGTTGCACCAAACAAAGCTTTATTTAAAACTGTTGTTACCGTTTCAACATCCTCTATACCTAATATGGTAATGCATAAATATACATACATACAGTATATGTTCTATTGTACCTAGTTCATCAGTAGTACCTAAATTTCGCTTTGAAATTTCCTCGGGGCATGATACAGGAGAAGCAGCAGTTGTGCCTATAAAAATATAGTTCAATACACTCAAGCGAAGAATAGCTACATGTACAACTACAATTACATGTTCAGTATATGTTTTTGGTTATTAAAATATCAAAATATTATGCTGGAGGAAATTCAGTACAATAAAAAGTATTTGCTGAACGAAAAGAAGTAGTACAATATTCAATAGTACAATGTCCTTTTCCCATTATCAGTACTAATAGCTTGCATGCTGGTACTAGTAGTAGATCTACTGCTTCCATTAGATGACACTGTAGCAGAAGGTACTGTAACAATACAACATTATGTAAAAATTAAATGTGTACAGCAGAATCCTCTACAGCCAGTAGAGGCCAATAAAGTAATGCACAATTATATAATCAAGTCAAAGGGAGGGACAGACTTATCAGTGGTGGATAGGGTTTGCCTCTAGAATGGTACTGATAACCTTCAGTAGTATCATATTACAGTATCAGGTAACTACCCATCACTTCACCCACTCCTACTCATACCCACACCTGCTGTAGTAGATATAGTCTAATTGTGGTTGGTACTGGTTTGGTCATGCAAGTAATTCAATTTTAGTAATTTCTAGTCAATTCTATTAAGTTATAGGTTTCTGACAAAGTATTAATTTTATAAGGTCTGATCAATAACTTGAACTTACCCAATTCATTGGCTATATCAGTGATTGGTTTCTCTCCAACTTCTTTTAATACTTTACAGACATCGTTTAGAAAAGTCTCAGGATGTTTATCATTGTTTAGAGTCCTTTGTAACTCGCTTACTAACTTTGAGGCTTTTTTTGAAGGAATATCATGACTATTAATCATCTCATCTTTTAGGTCAAGGGAAATTAATCCTGGAGCATAAAGCTTGCCTACTACTCCAGTCAAGCAAGAGGATATGGCATTTTCCAGTCTATTGGAAACACTTCTAAACCGACTGGAAACAGCTGCTTAGTTTTAAAAAAAGGTTCATATCCCAATAAATGCTGTACTTACTAGTACCAGAGGAGACAGGGACAGTGGGCTGGGCCTTGATTGGGTCACTTCTTGATGCTTTTGGAGTTTCTAATGAAATGATAGATTTTATAATTGTAGTCTGATTGATTTCTTAATTGGCGCAGGTAGATCTAATTGTATTACAAGTATTACCTTCAATTTTACTTCTCATGGTTGCTCCATGTTTTTTTAGTACTTCACTTCCTACATCTTCATCTTCAAATATGTCACAAATCTGGAGAAGACATTTAGCAGGATCATCATGATTCCTAATCTTCTCCCGGAGGCGGTGAGCCACTTCACTGCCTCTTTTTTGATCTGATAAGTTTGATTTGGATTTTATAGAATCAAGTTGTTGCTCTGTTATTAGGTCATCTGCTAAAAGGAAGTCAGTAACATTTGTGAAAGTTGGCTCTTTTCCAAGTGCAGCTGTAAGTTGGGGGAGGATCATTTTCCGAAACACATCATAAGGTGTTTTACCTAAAAGATCATAAAGTCACTTAACAATAAGTATATATGTACCAGTACCTCCTTCAGCCATGATGATAATAAGAGAGTGATGGATGGATGATGGGAAGAATTGACTGCCCTTTTAAATTAAATCATATTCATACCTACCCACTATCTACTTCCTGCCCACGATAGTACTTAAATAAATTCATGTACACTGTCTCTTGGTGGGGATATTAAAAACTAGCATAAAGCATGAAATATATAGTTTATGTTTTTCACCCATCGAATAATGCTACATAGACCAGGACAATTATCAACAAAAAATGATCATAGAAAAAAATTCTTTTTTTAATTTCACCAAAAATAGAAGAGACTATTTTGATATAATTTTGATGCATATAAATGTCCTTATGTTACCCATAAACTTTGAGTGGATTTTGATTAAAATTAGATTTTTTATGAATTTTTTATAAATACTTTGTATAATCAAACCACATGCTTTCACATTGATAAAAATCATAACAATAACTATAATTAAAACATTACATCTATTAATGCCAAAAATTGTTTGTGTGTATAGTAATGTGTGCCATATAAATCCTTGAGGAGTGAAACTATCTCATTCTTTAATTTGCTATGATAAAATGTAAAAAATGATCATTATTAGTAAACTCATTCTTTACTATTGATATCTCTATCAATCCCATCAGCTACAGCATTCTCTCCTATCTCCCTCAATGCTTCTATTAATGTATCATAAGTTGGACCACCTTTACTTTTTACATCATCAGCTTGTTGCAGCCATTTTTTTAAACACTCTTTTAAGCAGGTACAAACATCTCCTTTGTTATTAGCCTCAATAACATCAAGTGTAGCAGGGAGCAGTCCCAGATGAAGGCCAAGATCATTATAACTGACACCAGAATACCCATGCTTCTTTAGTAAATCAAGTATATGAACAAGACAGTTGATATCTAACAGAGTAATAGTGATAATGATAATTGCTAATATTTTGAAGCATGTAGACTATATAATATAACTTACCTAACTGCCCTTTGTGTCTCTTAGTAGGTGGACCTTCTAATGATGGTTCAGCTCCTAGAATAAAGTATGTTGTAATATGAAAAGAATAATAATTGTTATTAGTAATAAAATTGGTGAAGTGACATATAGAATCACTGATGATAAATCAAACTACCTTTCATACTATGTGTTCTTTTTCTTATCATGCCAGTCTCAGCAGCTCCTTTAAATGTAACAATCATTATGTCATCATTCTCATTATTATGCTATCTCTAACCTGGACTGGATGATTGATGATCACTAAACCAACATCTGTAGCTATCGTCATCACCTTGTAGTACATCACATTGGTCTTCACAAAGAGTGCACAAGGTAGAACATTTATCTTCCTGAACGATGCAAGTATTTCTGGGGGGACATTTGAAAGCAAAAACAAACTTATTATCTTCTTTAAGTTTGAGATCTTTACTGCTATCTTCAACAGCTTTTGAGACTAGTTCACGAATTTGTGGACAAATGCCCCTACAATGACCACGAACACGTATTTCAAGATGTGTATAGCGATTGATGATATCAATGTGGTATTCTTCAAAAACACGAAGTGACATTGCATTGTTACATCTGTAATATTCTTCATTGACTGGACTGAAGCGTATGTCGTCTTTTTTCTCTAAAAGGTGTACAATGGTTAAGGGAAATAATCCTTGAGGAATGGCTAGAGTTGTTTCATCTCTTTTTTTGATTTTCCATGTTATGAGAAGTGGTTGTATTTCTGTTGGAGGGGCTTTAAGCTCACCATGAGATGGTAATGCACATGGAAAAAAATAGTCTCCTTCTTCTCTATTTTCCACTTTAGCAATGATGTGGAGATGCAATAGAAGAGTAATCATGTGAGACGATGTAAAATCAGCATGTTCAAATATTTTTTTACCAAAAAGTTGTAAAAGATCTTCATTAAAGAGGCCCAATATTCTCAAGTCATATGTTTCTGTATGGTCGGTGTATGTGCTAGCTATTAGAAGTGAAAGGACATCAAGAATCGGTTCAGGATCAACAAATATTATATTTGATAAGATGCCAGGATAATAAAGAATGATAGTGACATTGTGTAAATATTGCAGAGCTTTTTCAATATCTGATTCTTCATTAAGTCGGAGAGACTTACCAATTTCCTTAACTTCTTCTTTTGTAAGGAAGCTTCGTCCCTTTTGCTTAGCTTCTCTTTGTAGAGAAATCTCAAAAACAAACAGGCGAATTGGTATACAAATTCTCATGGCAACTCTAAAACTTGAAATTTTTGTACAAAGAGCTACACTAGCTTCTTCTCTTTCTGGTCCTTTGAGCATTGTGTTAACTGGATATATAATATTGTCGTGATCCTGACGATTCCTAATGACTTTTATATTAGCTTTATATTCTTCAAGCAGCACTTTATTCATTTTTTCCAGCTCATCTAGTGTGCCATTCTTTTCCAACTTATCTTTACGTGTGCCAAGTACGAAATAGCGAGGGTGGATTTTTTTTTTTTGTCAGACTCAGAGAGATAAGGAATTTCGATGGGATTAAACATAGCTCCGGAGCTAACTGTTGATTGGATTATATCACGATTAGAATAACTCTGATTTATATTAATAGGATACTCTAATTGACTGATACGATATTGAAACTCACACTTCTCATCAAGACCTTTGGTAAGATCAATGGTGATGATATTCAGTGCAGCTGCTCTTGTAAAAAGAGGTAGTAACTCTCGATATGCTGGTTGACCACCAGAATCAATAAAATAAACCCAATTTGTGCTTAATTTTTTTAACTTTCCTGCTTCAAGAGCAATTACTATATCGTTAATTACTTCCATATCGGTTGGTTTCTTCTCAAGTGGTTCCTCCTCAATTGGTTTCTTTTCAGGCAGTTCTGCTTCCAGTGAAGAATGCTCTGAACGAACAGATACAGGACTTGCAGGCATTGGTGCTTCTTTTTTATGCTCTGTTTCATTTGGTGCTTCATTTAAACAAGATGCTAGCTGGTTAAGTAAATCTTCTTGTTTAACCTTCTCCCACTTCTTATTTTTACCATCAATGGATATTCGTGTTGCTTTAACAGCAGGACAAGCTATTGGTGTACTATCAGTGAGTTCATCAGGAGGTGCAGGTGGTGGCTCATTAAGTAGGAGGTGCTGTGTGCATGTTTTACCAGCTCCAGGTGCACCATGCATATTGATACGAGTGATTTCTAGCTCAACTTCACCTTCTTTCAGCCATTTTTCTATTTTTCCTAAATAAAGTAACACCATATATGAGACAGTAATCAGTAGCAAAGTAATGTGCATAGTGTTCACACTAGGGTAGTCCCAAATTAATGGGTATCAGTCAATTAGCATTTCATCTGAGGTGGATTGATGTGAAGTGATGTGGTTCGACGACCAATGTAAACCAATGGCAACAGGAACACAAAAATCAACTACTAGTGTGAACAAGATCAATAAGCATTATATACCGTAGGACACCTTTTCTTGAGGGCTATAAATTTCATGGATTTTAATTTTGCGGATTTAATTTTCAAAAAACTAAAATTTAATTTTTTAGTGAATGTCAATATGTCAGGTTGCAGTCAATGATATTTTTGCAAATTAATTTTATGGGACGAAATAATTAGATCTAGATCTAATAATCTATCCAAATAATTTATTGCTAAGAAAGATGATACTAAATAGCTTTTACTAATTGGTTACCTTGTGATAGGGTAGTTCCATCAGTATCCTCATCACCTCCACTTACTTGAGCTTCTCCATCTAAGAGGACAACATATAAGGATCACTTTAGTATAAATTATAAAAATACAGATTGTCTGTTGACATTATAATAATATTATTAATATGTGGTTTTATGAGTAGCAGCTGTGCTTGTTTGGAGAGACAGAGATAAGCTTTCACTCAACCCACTACATGTCAGTGGGTCCATATTTTCCTAAGCAAAGTAAGAGCCTTAGCTCAGATAACCAACCCATTAAAAATTACATTTATGAGGTTATATTGGTTGTCAGATTTTGTAATCTTACCTTTGTTTCCAGCACCAGTTTTTGTAGTAGGAGAGTCAGTTTTTGGCTCTAGATTAAAGTACAGTTAAATTTGCTGGTTAGCTTTTCACTTACTCGTACTTTTAGCTGGTTTCTTTCCTTCTGATGAATTTCCTCCAAACATATCACCTAAAATAGACATGTACATGTATAACTATCAATATCTACTTTGTGACTATACTGCTTTAATATTGAGTATTGTCAATAATCCAATAAATAGTAAATAAAGATGCTGCTAGTCATGAATTTTTATTCATTTATTTTTTTTAATTACAATGGTGCAAGGCTATCATAAGTTCATATAATTTAGGTTCATTATTCTCATTGTTGTCATGGTGAGGATAATGATGCATGATTAAAGTATTGAGATATACACTCACTTATACGTTCAGCTATTGCATCCCTTCCAATCGCTTCAAGTGCCGCACATAATGAATTAAATGATGGTCTTCCATGAAAATTATCAACTTTATCAGCTCTCTCCAGCCATTTTGTAAGGCATCTGGCGAAACGCATATGAACACTTTCTTGATCTTCTTTAATATTATTCAGTGTGTGTTGATGTAGCCCAAGTTCCCTTCCTAAGGCCTCCCAATCTCCTTTTTTAAACTCTGCATTTCGTAACTTTTGCATCACATCTCTTAAATCAGAAACCCTCAGTTCTAAAAGTGAAGTATGTATTGCAAGTTGTTCATATTTCTAATAATTTATGCCATCAGTGGTGCTCTTCATGCAATGACTACCTCTATATGTTATGTGTGTTATGTTTAAACACGTATGACCTCCCTGTATTTACAGATTTGACATTAAATGGAATTGGCTCGTCATTAATTTTACTGACATGAACTTGTTGCTGCCCCTGATGACAACAGCAATACAAAATGATACAGCTAAAGAGCTGCATGAATAATGCACAGTACAGCTACATAGTCAAGCACTCACCTTTTTCCATGTTAGTCAGTTGTAAAAAGAACAGGCAAAGGTTTAGAATGAAGCTCTGTTACTGAAAACTGTCAACAACTTCTCTAGTGGGCAGATACACACTACTGGTATAATATTCCTGCTATCTGATTGTTATCAAAACTTCAACTTCCTGTGTTTAACTTACCAAAGAGTTTAGTAGTATATGATTCACTGATTCACCTTTCCATTCTTTGTGTAGTGAAACAAACCTTATGCTGCCCTTCCCCTATCCTGTTGTTACTTGAAATGATAACAATTATTTACTAGCTCCTGGCACCTCTGCCAAAAGAATATGCCAATCATTTCAACTCATAATAATTCTTTAAAATTGTACTAAGCTGGTATCATTATTAAAGGGTAATATTGTAAAGAGTTTTCAGTTTCTTAGGTATCCTTTCTGCTGCTGCACGGTCTCCTGTTCCCTCCACAGCGTCTATCAAAGTCTGCCATGTTCTACTAGTTACATTATCTTCACCCTTCAGCCATGCTTCTATAGTCTTCCTCAAGTGTCTGTATGCATCACCACCTCCTTCTCCAATCACATTGAGTCTTGGTGAAAATAGACCTAACTTTAGCCCCAAGTCATTCCAGTTTACTGGACCAAACTGAGCTTCATTTAAAACTGTTATTGCTTTTTCAGCATCCTTTATGCCTAATATGGTAATCATAAATAGATTATTATTGTGATACATTACTTACCTAGTGACCTTTTCCCATTATCTGTATTACTAGTACTAACAGTTTGCATGCTGGCACTACTAGTAGATCTACTGCTTCCATTAGATGACACTGTAGCAGTTGGTACTGTAACAATACAACATTATGTAAAAATTAAATGTGTACAGCAGAATCCTCTACAGCCAGGAGAGGTCAATAAACAACTATAATTATAATCAAGTCAAAGGGAGGGACAGACTTATCAGTGGTGGCGGATAGGGTTTGCCTCTAGAATGGTACTGATAACCTTCAGTAGTATCATATTACAGTATCAGGTAACTACCCATCACTTCACCCACTCCTACTCATACCCACACCTGCTGTAGTAGCTATAGTTTAATTGTGGTTGGTACTGGTCAGGTCATGCAAGCAATTCAATTTTAGTAATTTCTAGTCAAATTTTATTAAGTTATAGGTTTCTGACAAAGTATTAATTTTAAAAGGTCTGATCAATAACTTGAACTTACCCAATTCATTGGCTAAAACACTTAGCACTATATCTAAATCACCTATGCCTAAAATGATAACTGTATAAATTTATGTACACACATTATATGTTCTATTGTACCTAGCTCATTAGGATTAGTCCTAGGCAGAGCTGCTGCTGAAGGATGAGGTGGAGCTGAAGGAGTAACAGCTGGTACTTGAACTGGTGTAGCAGCTGTTCCATCTATTAAAATAAAGTATTTAGAAAGGATACTAATGGAATGTGTTTTACTTGATATGCTTGCTCTCATGCTTTCTCCATGTTTCTTCAATGTAGCATTGTCTACATCTTCAGATTCAAATATCTCACATATTATGGTAAGTAGACAGGCATTAGGGTCATCACTCTCCCTTATCTTGTCTCTTAGGGTAAAAGCCACTTCCCTACCTCTTTCAACACCTTGTTTGGTCATTATAGCCTCTAGCTCTTGATCAGTTATCAGGTCCTCACTCCTCAGCATTGAGAGAAGCAGTGACTACACTGAGAAAAGGGTGGATCCTTCCCAAGTATGTTTATAAGCTTTGGTAGTGTCTTTTTTAAGACATCCTTAGCACTTTTACCTACAGTACAGTGCTAAAAGATTGGTACACTTTATAAAGAGAACTGACCTCCTTCAGCCATTATTGTTATTCACTTAAGAATGCTAGTATCAGCAAATGGGCAGGTTTAGGCTATCTATTATACGGTTTACCCACTTCCTTTTTTCTTTTTAGGAGTTACTGTGAGTTTAATAAACATTTATAGTATTATACTCTACTGCATATATTGCTGTTATTAGTATAAGGTAGTGTTACAAGGTGCTTCATTATGTTAGATTATATAAAATTGGACTAAAGTCCCTGTACTGTTGTAGTACATGGTATTGGGCCAAATTTTGCCAAAATTGAAAAGTGAAGAATTCTCCATTTTTATTACATTTTCTGATGCATATACATATACTTATGTTGCATAGAAAGTTTGAGCTGATTCTGATCAAATTCGGATTTTTTATGAATTTTTTAATTTGCTCCAAAATTTGGTCAAAGTCCCTGTACATGGTCTTGGGCCAAATTTTGCCAAAATCGAAAAATTTAAAATTCACAATTTTTATTACATTTCCTGATTTATATACATGTTTTTATGCTGTGTAGAAAATTTGAGTTGGTTCCAATTAAATTTGGATTTTTTACAAATTTTTTAATTTGCTCCAAAATTGAGCCAAAGTCCCTGTACTATAGTACATTACATGAGGGAACTAAGCCCTTAACAAACATCTTTAACAAAATAAACACAACACAGAAATTACTAGGTTTAGAAGTAAGATAATAATAATAGAATAAGTGATAGGAAAAAAATTAATAAGGCACAATGAATAAGTTAATTGAGGGTGAGATGAGCCTCCGAGACAGCTCTACAGAAGTCATTGGAGTCAAATGATTTCACTCTTGATCGTGAACCCCGTAGATGGTCTTGGGCCAAATTTTGCCAAAATTAAAAAGTATAGAAGTGTTACATTTCCTGATACATATGCATGTTCTGATGTTGCGTAGAAACTTTGAGCTGATTCTAATCAAATTTAGATTTTTTACGAATTTTCAAAGTTTTTCCAAAATTGGGTCAAAGTCCCTGTACTGTAGTACATAGTTTCGGTCCAAATTTCGCCAAATTTAAAAATTAGAGAAGTCATAATTTTTATTACATTTCCTGATACATATACATGTACTTATGTTGTGTAAAAATTTTGAGCTGATTCCGATCAAATTTGGATTTTTTATGAATTTTTAAAGTTGCTCCAAAATTAAGCCAAAGTCCCTGTACAGGGTCTCTGGCCAAATTTTGCCAAAATGAAAAAAATTAAAACTCACAATTTTTATTACATTATCTGATTCATATACATGTTCTTATGCTGCGTAGAAAGTTTGAGCTGGTTCTGATCAAATTTAGATTTTTTACGAATTTTTAAAATCAGACAAATTACCATGACTCATGCTCAGTCTTGTATTATTGATATGAGCTTACTAAAGCTCATCCTTTTAGAAATGAAACTGGAACTGGTATTGAGTTTATATCAACAAACACACAGTAATGCATTACTAAGTATTCCTTTCAACAAACCGTTGTCATTATCAAACATTATGATTACATATAGACCAATTATAATTTACTTTCAGCTACTAGTTTTGTTCAAACAAACATTTGTTTATTTATCTGGATTATCAATATTATAATTACTAGAACTAGTCTAAGTTCAGTCAGTTACTTATTGTAGTTGTTTCCAGTCATTTAGTGCAGCATGTACATAATGAGCAGCAGCACGGGCTGCAAATGGCTTCCATTTTTTAGTGGCTTCTTTGTCACCATCACCCCAGTCACCGATACCCTTGATGACGATAGCTTCAACACGGTCAGGGACATAATCTATAGCAGCCATTATTCCAGCTCCTTCCATTTCTCCTGCTATAGCATCTCTTCTAAATTCTAACAATTCTTGTTTAACGTCAGGATGATCGATCAGACTGCCTGTAGATATAAGGACACCAATGGAAACTTTAATGTTGTGTGGCATTTTAAAACCATGAGGAGGTCGGAATTTGTCCACAGTAGTTCGATTTACTAGGTGGTGAGGGCCTCTCTGATACTCATCATCTTCATCTACTCCTTCACGTTTATTTGTGAAATCGCAGATCGTGCCCGAAATGATGACATCACCTAACTTCTGATTTTTTGTTCCCATTCCAAAACAGACGCCAACGGCAACAACGTATTTGATGCTCGGAATCTTTTCTAACATTTTTGATGCGATAATACCAGCGTGAATTGGACCCTGCCTGCTCTTATCTGGTGCTGTGACTACAACAATGACTTTAATTTTTCCATAATGTCCTATGTATACCCTCAGACCATCAATGTCTGTTTCAATGAGATCTTCTGGTGATTGCTTCAGATAATACACGACTGGATCTTCTTCACTTGTAGTGGCTGGCATAAGTAGGATTTCAATATCTTTAACAAGACGTTTATGAAAATTTCAGGTTTTGGGGACACGTCTCATGATTTCATCATTATACGGCCAGTCTGGTGGGTCTGAAAAAAAAACAATTGACTCTTGGATGCAAGACATGATGTATTGCATGTTATATTGTATTATGTGTGTGTGTGTGATTATTAGCTTTACAAATAGTTTAATTGTTACAGCATCACTGAATGTGTGCACATAAGGAACAGTCAATTGTAAAGCAGCTTAAAAGCTAAATATAGCATGATTGGAATTATTCTTGATTGAGCAGCATACATTATGGTATTGTGTTACCTTTTTGTGCAGTTCCACCATCAATTTCCTCAATAGCAGCACTTCCTTGAACTCCTCCATCTAAAATAGAAAGTATAGCTTAAAGAGGATCACTTTAATTGGTAGATTAGATGGTCTATTGACATTATACCGCAATCATTATGGATAAGAAAGCACAGTACATGTACGGTATGTGTGTAGCAGTATCACTTTGTGGTATTATATGAGTAGCAGCTGTGCTTCAGGTTATGACACTCAAACCCTGCATGGTTTCCGTATATTAGCTGTGGCTCCTGTATGGATTCCACAAGTGTGGTAAAGCTTGCCCTAAACTAAGCTCTATCTCTATATTCAGGCTATCAGTATAAATCTGCTTTTTAAAGCTGTATCTATATGTTTCAATAGCTAATACCTGTTTATTAATAAAATTACGGGTTATTATACCATTGCGTTTGTATCCAGCATCACTTTTCTTAGTACTAGTGGGTTCAAGTTCCTTCCCTAGATTAGAGAATAGTTAAATTTACTAATTACAGCTCCATTTATTCATACTTTTAGCTGGTTTCTTTCCTTCTGATGCATCTCCTAAAAGTAGACTATACTGTAAATTTATATTGATGTTAAATAATTCATCTATGCATAGCAGCACCTGCTAAACAGTTAAGCTGCTTTAATATTGAGTATTATTGTCAATAATCCCTTTTTCACATTGTTGCTCTTTTTTATTTACTTTGATGATGCAGCTGAAATAATGAGCATTCATCTTGTTCAGTACTTATGGATAGTTATTGATAATTACATACTACATGTGCTGGAGAACAGGTGGAATTCTTATTCCCTATACTCAAGTCTAAAGGTAAGTATGAAAACAATTCTGACACTTAAAAGCCAGCCTCCATGAGTTATTATGTATCCTTTGTGTTCTTGCTGCCATTGGCACCATAGGTTTACATCCACCTCTAAGTGAGAGTGGTGCGAAACTACTCTAGTATGAACATGATTATACACTACTCATTGATTTTAAAATTACAATATGACAACCGATTCATATACAATGTTGGTATAATGAGATATAATGATTTAGTCTCTTACTTATACATTCAGCTTGAGGTTTAAAATTCATTTTTTCAAGAGCACCAGCCAATGTATCCAAAGATGGTTTACCAACTTTATCAACACCATCAGCTCTTTTCAGCCACTCTTCAAGGCATTCAGTAAAACAACTATCAATGTCACCTCTTTTATTTGAATCAATTATAGCTAGTGTATTTGGATAGAGGCCAAGTTTCCTTCCTAAATCCTTCCATTTAGTTTTGTCAAAACGTGCCTCCTTTAAAGAGTCTATCACATCGATCAACTCATCAATGGTCAGTACTAAAGTGTGAAGAAATAATAAGTTTAGTACAAAGTTATACAACATGCAAAGCAAGTGGCGGATCTACATAATTTAATTTGTTGCTGTCATGAGTACAGCAGTATTAATAATACAAAAAGCATCACATAATTAGAATTATACAACCATCAACTATCTACATATAGTCAAGCACTTACTTTTTGACATGTTAGTCAGTTATAAGAAGAACAGTCAAAGGTTGGAATGAAGCTCTGTTACTGAACACTCTCAACAACTTCTAATGTGGGCAGATACTCACTACTGGTATAATTATTCCTGCTATCTGATTGCTATCAAAACTTCAATTTCCTGTTTAACTTACCAAAGAGTTCAGTAGTATATGATTACTCATTCACCTTTCCATACCTTGAGTAGTGGAACAAACCTTACTGCCCTTCCCCTATCCTGTTGTTACTTGAAATGATTATGATAGCAATTATTTACCAGCTCCTGGCACCTCTGCCAAAACAATATGCCAATCATTTCAACTCATAATAATTACTTAAAATTGTACTACCGTATAGCGGGTTTGTTTTGTGAAGGTAAACTTTCGTTTTCCATCCTCAAAATGACTTTCGTGAGGTTAAACATTCGTTCTGAAGACGTTAATAAGCTACCACGCCCATTAAAAAGAATTTCGTTTGGTTAATTATTCGTTCTCCCATCTTGAAGAATGAAAAGAACGAAAGTTTAGCCTCACAAAACAAACCCGCTATACGGTATGTTATTATCATTATTAAAGGGTAATATTGTAAAGGGTTTTTAGTTTATCGGGTATTCTTTGAGCAGCTGCACGATCTCCTGTTCCCTCCACAGCGTCTATCAAAGTCTGCCATGTTCTACTAGTTACATTATCTTCTCCCTCTAGCCATACTTCTATAGTCACCCTCAAGTGCTTATACGCATCTCCTCCTTCATCTTTAATGACATTGAGTCTTGGCATCAATAGACCGAGCTTCAGGCCCAAGTCCACCCATTTTGTTGCACCAAACAAAGCTTTATTTAAAACTTTTGTTACCATTTCAACATCCTCTATATCTGTGGTGGTAATGCATTAATAGATCATTGTGATACATTACTTACCTAGTGTCCTTTTCCCATTATCAGTATTACTAGTACTAACAGTTTGCCTGCTGGCACTGCTAGTAGTAGTAGATCTACTGCTTCCATTAGATGACACTGTAGCAGTTGGTACTGTAACAGAAACAACATGACATTATGTAAAAATAATGATTACAGGTGTACAGCAGAATCCCCTACAGCCAGCAGAGGTCAATAAAGTAATAAACAATCATATAATCAAGTCAAAGGGAGGGACAGACTCAGTTATCAGTGGTGGATAGGGCTTGCCTCTAGAATGGTACTGATAACCTTCAGTAGTATCATATTACAGTATCAGGTAACTACCCATCACTTCACCCACTCCTACTCATACCCACACCTGCTGTAGTAGCTATAGTTTAATTGTGGTTGGTACTGGTCAGGTCATGCAAGTAATTCAATTTTAGTAATTTCTAGTCAAATTTTATTAAGTTATAGGTTTCTGACAAAGTATTAATTTTATAAGGTCTGATCAATAACTTGAACTTACCCAATTCATTGGCTATATCAGTGATTGGTTTCTCTCCCACTTCTTTTAATACTTTACAGACATCGTTTAGAAAAGTCTCAGGATGTTTATCATTGTTTAGAGTCCTTTGTAACTCGCTTACTAACTTTGAGGCTTTCTTTGAAGGAATATCATTACCATTGATCATCTCATCTTTTAAGCCAAGGGAAATTAATCCTGGAGCATAAAGCTTGCTTACTACTCCAGTTAAGCAAGAGGATATGGCATTTTCCAGTCTATCGGAAACACTTCTAAACCGACCAGAAGCAGCTGCTTGGTTTAAGAAAAGATTCATATCACTAAACGCTGTACTTACTAGTACCAAGAGATTCGGGGACAGGTTGTTCTTTGTTCTTTGCTTCTGGAGTTTCTAATAAAATGATAAATGTTGTTGTAGTTCAGGCCGGCTGAATTCCTCGGCCCAGGTAGTTGTATTACAAGTATTACCTTTAATTTTACTTCTCATCGTCCCCCCATGTTTCTTTAGTACTTCACATCCTACATCTTCATCTTCAAATATGTCACAAATCTGGAGAAGACACTTAGCAGGAGCATCATGATTTTTAATCTTGTCACGGAGGCAGTGAGCCACTTCACTCCCTCTCTGTTTATCTGATAAGTTTGGTTTGGATTTTATAGACTCCAGTTGTTGCTCTGTTATAAGACCATCTGCTAAAAGGAAGTCAGTAACATTTGTGAAAGTTGGCTCTTTTCCAAGTGCAGCTGTAAGTCTGGGAAGCATTGTCAGAAACACATCATAAGGTTTTCTACCTAAAAGATTTCATAATTGACAAGATCACTTTACAATATGTATAGTATATATCAGTACCTCCTTCAGCCATGATGATTATAACTTATAAGAGTGATAGATGGATGATGGATGGAAGATGGGAAGAATTGACTGCCCTCCGGTTCAAAATTAAATCATATTCATTGATCTATCTACCCACAACTTCCTGCCCATGACAGCACACAATAATTGAGATAAACACTTGCTGTATGAGCATTTTAAAAATTAGCATAAAACATGAATTATATAACCCATGTTTTTTCAGCCTTCAAAAATGACTAGTGACCAAACCAAATATCATCAAAAATGATTAGAAAAGAATTCTCTATTTAGATATATCAAGAGATTTTAAAACATTTTCGATGCTTACCGGTATACATGTCTTAATGATACCTAGAAACTTTGAGATTAAAATTAGATTTTTTAATGAATTTTTAAAGTTGCATCAAAATTGGAATCCTTAGCTAGACTATAGCTCTAGTCTTTACTATTTTTACTACTTTTTCAATGATAACTCGAAAATTTCTTGTTGGAATTGGCTCAAACTTTCTACACAACATACGGACATCAACTTGTATCAGAAAATGTGATAGGCGTATACTGTGATTCATCCTTTTTAGAATTGAAAACAAAGTCTATCACAACAAACACAACTATGCATCAAGCATGACTAAAATAATGCCAAAAACAACATGGCTGTTATCATTGTAATTATTTATTAATTAGCACCTGGAGCTTGTCACCATGATAGTTTACACAGAAATTTTATTCGTACCAAAATAAACAGAAAACTTTCACATTTAAACAATGCGACAGGATATAGTATTGTAGATACTGCAGTTATAATAACATAATAACATGAAGGAAGAATAACAGGTGAGAAGTGTATTTAAAGGAAGACTAGACAACAGCTATCACGTTCGGCGGTAGAGCAACTGAGAAGTGACAAGATGAAATACTTGGCTCTTCTTTTGCTTTTGACGGCACTGGCTTATGTTACAAGTGATGATCTTGAAGGAGATTTTGAAGAAGAGGAGCAACCAATGGAGGAACATTGGGGGACTGAGAATGAAGAAGTCTCTGATGAATATATTGGTAATAGTACAAGACTGTTATAATTGTATCATTTATTATAATGTTGTCTCTGTAGGTGATTCAGCAGTTTCTACTATAGCTGCTTTAGTTCCATTGTCAGGTCATAGTAGCGACATTGGTAGAATCGTCCTGTCAAGTTTCAGGAAATCTTACATTGATTTACGACGCTCTTGTAAAGGATCCTGTAGGGTACCTCGAGTTAAGATCCGTAATACTCGTTCAAACCCTAGACTAGCCGTGAAGATTTTTAGGCAGCTGTACAGACGTGGAATAAGAGTATTTATTGGTCTAGTTACCAGTCCTGAGGCTGAAGCTGTAGCAAGGTATGCTTCAAAGCGTGCAAGGAGAGCAGTATTATTCAGTCCTACTAGCACTGCTACTAGTCTCTGTAAGTACAAGCAACTGTACAGACTTTCCATGGATGATCGTGGCTATGCTGAAGTACTCTTTGACTTGGCATTTGATGCTAAGATGAAGAATGCAAAAGAGTTTCCGATACAGATGGTATTACGTAGTGATTCTCATGGAAGAGAACTCTTTAATGTTGTACGAAAGAGGTTTCAGGACGAGGATGGCTTCAAAGTTCTTAACCCCATCTACTATAATGGTAACGCACTAGCTAGGCCACATCTCAATCAGTTAGTGAATCGGCTCAATGGCTCACTAGCAGATCAGGAGCGATCAATGATTATATTTTCTGGATCTGGTGAGGTTGAGGGAATCATTCAAACAGCTGCTAAGAATCCTAATCTACTCCGTCACCTTTGGCTCTTGTCAGATTCTCTCACACTCTCAAAGATTGAAATACCGCGAAACGTTGACGTATTTGGACTTAGCTTTGCAGGGCACTATGACAGTGACGTTAACACAAAAAAAGAAGAGAATGGATTGCGTCGTTACCTCTGTCGCAAAAGACTGCCATTAACAAAGCATGCTTTGCTAGCTTATGACACAATGGTACTAGCTCACAACTACTTACGGAAGAGATGTCTCACTTTATTTCAAAATTATAAAACACTCACTGGAGATATAAAGTTTAGCAGCTGCAACGAGAGGCTTTCTGGATCGTACGCTTTTGCTATAGCACCAATGGCAAAGAAAATAGACAACCTTTTGATCAAAGTGATCATGAACAAGTGGATCATTCGCTCATATTACAACATCAAACAAAATGAACGGGTGATGCTAGAGTCACACTACAAGGAGTTGAGTGAGGAGGAGAAGACTGAAGCTGATCTTCAAAGCAGCAGAAAGAAAAGTGTGACAGCAACTGATCCACCAGTTATTGAAATAAAGAAGAAGGAGCTGCTAAAAGGACTGGTAGAGATTGGTGATACTCAGTGCACTCAGTCTGCTCAACTAGCCATTACTTCAATAGAAGAACTTGACAGCACCTGCTCTAAAACTAAACTCACTTACAAGGTAACAGAAATGCCTGAAGTTATAATAGTCTCGGATCAACTTGGCTTCATCATGGAGGCTACTTGTACTTCTGCTAATCGCACATACACACTCACCCGATTGTGTCCTTCTTCTAAATCTCCTGGCACTGAGCTAGTCTGCACTGAGAGGGTTTCCTCTAGAGCTATTGATGGGAAGGTCGAAGAGGAAAATGCATGCACTGGTACTAAAGTTGGTACTGTGGTGTGTTACACTGGAGCTACTGGGTGTTGGGTGAGTACCTTCTTTACGTTTGGTCTTTCTGCTCCAGCTTGTTCCGCTGCTACTGCTGGCTGCGGTGCACTGAGCGCTGGTAGCTATCTTGCTTGTAATAAACCAAAGAAAAAGAAGAAAGGAAAGTTTGTGTGTACTGAGTTGTTTCGTCAAGGCTACCTCTCTTCTGATATCATGCTAGCTGATATGAGCTTTGCTGAGCATTACAGCAAAGACTACCCTATCACACGTAAAGGGTATGATATTATAGGACCAGCCCTAGCAACCATCATGAGTTCTTCCAAAGGTATGACTGATGCCGTGAGATCTTTTGCTGTTCCTTGGGCGGAGCAGATGGCGTACGAGGAAGGATACCTTGAGACTGGGAATGAACGTGGGGTATTGGTGATGAATATTGGGTCAATCATTTGTGCTGCCGTGGGAGGATTGTATATATACTCTTACTACATACTGGGTAAGTATTGATAACTATAGCGTATCTCTTATTAATGGTCATTGTTTAGGAGGGATTTTGATGCTAGTTTCAGCTGCATTGGCAAGGAGGATTAATTTCAAGCCATTGGTTCCTCTGCCAAAGAAGAACAACTGATTGTGAACAATAACTTCAATGAGTAGTTATAGTTAGGCACTTTTTAGTATTGTTATTGTGCATTAGACAGTAGTTAGTGTTAGTTGAATAAAAAATATTACTGCAAGAGTTTGCCAGGATTATGGAGTTATAATAGTTCATACTATAAAGTATAACCACCATAGACCATTGCAATGGTTATAGTATGTAACAGCCTTTGCAAGTAGTAATTTCTCATTTTCTGATACATATTGATGTCCTTATGCTGTGTAGCAAGTTTGAGGTGATTCCGACTTCAATTTTTCAAGTTACGGCCATTTTAAGAAAATGCCAAAATTCTGAAAAATACCCAAGGCTATAGTCCATGGTTTTTTTCCAAAAAATGGCTCCAAAATCATTGCAAATTTTTATTACATTTTCTGATACATATTGACGTCCTTATGCTGTGTAGAAAGTTTGAGTCGATTCTGACTTCAATTTTTCAAGTTACGGCCATTTTAAGAAAACACCAAAATTTTGAAAAATACCCAAGGCTATAGTCCATGGTTTTTTTCAAAAAATGGCTCCAAAATCACCTCCAATTTTTATTACATTTTCTGATACATATTGATGTCCTTATGCTATGTAGCAAGTTTGAGTTGATTCCGACTTCAATTTTTAAAGTTATGGCCATTTTAAGAAAACACCAAAATTCTGAAAAGTACCCAAGGCTATAGCCCATGGTTTTTTCCAAAAAATGACTAAAAAATCACCCCCAATTTTTATTACATTTTCTGATACATATGGATGTCCTTATTGTGTGTAGAAAATTTGAGCTGATTCCGACTTCAATTTTTTGAGTTGTGGCCATTTTAAGAAAACGCCAAAATTTTGAAAAATACCCATGGTTCTTTCAAAAAAATGGCTCCGAAATCACCCCAAATTTTTATTACATTTTCTGATACATATTGGTATCCTTGTGCTGTGTATAATATTGTTTGTAGTCACTTTTAAGTCAGTTATCAACCAGTATATAATGATAACTGAGGGACAGGATTAACACAATGTTCACGATCATTGCTCATCTCTCTATATCATAGTAGACTAGTGAGGTGACATGAATTGCAATTAACTGAGTAGTACTGTACATTACTGTACATTTTATCATATCATAATACTGATAAACCACTAGTTTCAATGTTATCATTAGGTGTAGTCCACTGGCAGGCCCCCTTTTACTACAACCGCCCTTGTTAGGTTGCTCTTCTTCCTTTCTCTCTTTCTCCTCTTGACTTTGAACTACAAATGGCTGGACTTGCTAAGACCAATGATGCTGGAGATGAGACAGTTACCCAATGGCTGTGGGTCAATTCGGACCATAAAGATAAACTTCTAGAGGAATTGACTGATAATGACTTGATACAGACTTCATGCCCTGACAAGACACTTTCATATCTCAAGATTATCACTAGCAGAGAAAAAATAGGGAAAATAAAAGACAAAATTAGACATTTTAACATTTTGCAAAATGAAATGTTTGGGCCAGTTCAGGAATTAAAAACTGAAGCTAGACTTGAAGATTGTAATCCAATGGAAGTTGTTCCTGCAAATACTATTAATGAGACACGTAAGCACTTAACTGATCCTACTTTTTAATTTTAAATAATATTTACACAGCGACATTTTATATTACTTTGCAATGCTCTTATGGATGTGTCACTGATGAGCTAGCAGAAAGAATAGCAACTGAACTTATTGAAGAGCTGCAAAAGAACACAGTAAGGGATTAGATTAATATAATAGATTATATTTGCAGATCTATCAACGAAAAGACCTTGTATTTAAAATAACAGTCAATCAAGATCCTCATGAACTTGTGTTCACAGCGAATGGCCGTTGGTGGACAATGCCCATCATCACTGTTTCTGCACATGTTGAAAACTTTGGTGAACCTCCACCAGAGTCACCAGAGGATGATGTGTTTGAGATAATGAAAAAATGGTGCCAAGACAAATAGTATGTTTACTACACAGTTGATCTATACGTGCTATTATTATTTTTGATAGTTTGGTCAAGTCTTCAAAAGACAAGGACAAAAGCAAGAAATGAATAAACTGTTCATTGCACAAAAATAAAAGAATGATAAGAACGATTAACAATAAGTAATTATACTTTACTAATAATAATTTATAGTGATATTAACAATTTCTAAAAAACCCAATAAATGACTCACACTTATTAGTCTCAAACAGTTCCATCAACTTCAACACGGCGTGCATTATAACTATTATTTTTTCTTAATTTCCTACTCACACATTTATATGACCAAACAATGAAGGCCACGATGCACAGAATGATCAAGTATACAGCAATAACAAGTGGAGGTCCAATTGGTGCTAAGTAAATAAAGTGATACTCATATTCTTCATAGCAACGGAAAGGTATTGATAATTTCACTTTCCCACGAAACCTACTTGCAGAAGTGCCAAATACGTACCATACTTCATCACCACCATCGTCCCTGGTGCATTCGTCTTCACTACCAGGGCATGAAGGGTCCAGAATACAAGAGCTAGAAAGATTGCCTTGAATTTTGTACTCTGAAATATATCCTGAAATATTGACTCTTAAATGTACATTCATTATGTGAGAAATGACAAAGAATGAGAATGCATCTCTTGTCATGTTTAAGGAGAAATGGTACGTACCAGATTCATTAAGACACGGAGTAAAGTTATACGCATTCTGAGGTATATCATGCGGGAGTTTATATGGTGTAGCATCAAAATAGTTTATGAAATCATCATGAGAGCCAAAAGTAGCCATTCTTACTGCACAATCAGTTCCGTTGTTGTTTATTAGCATAAAAGAAAAGTTCACGTTAGCTGGTCCATCAGCATTATAGAACGGATTATATCCTAGAAATAAAGGGCGCTCATCGGAAAATGGATGTGCACTCATAACATCCAATTGTTTGGAAGACACCGTGAAATCGTTTTCCTGTACTTTGTATATTTCTGTGCCGTTAGCATAAAAATTACCATCGTTAGGATCATTGAGTGCTTCAATCTGCAAATTTTGGATAACATCAGAGCTGTAATTGTCACCAATTTTGACAGTTCTCATAACTCCAACGGAATAATTGCTACTGGTGTAGTTGCCAGTACTTTGGTACACGGTGCGAGAAAGGTAGTGAAGAGTCACTACTAGTAAGATGGAGATTAAAGCAGCTATGGCAGCAATGCTGAGACACAATGATGGAAAAAATGTGCATAAGCAACCTAATTAAAAACACGTTCATCATTATACATGTACCATACAAGATGATTTATTAGCAGGAGTAATATTTGGCGAATTTGCCTGTGGAAAGAAATTGGCGAATTGTATATGCAATTTTGTGCCACCTGCCATTAAGCATGCTCAGATTGAAACAAAAATGGGAGATTTTATATTAGCGATTTCTTCATAGAACTGCCAATTGCCAATATTAATTCCCTGCTAATAAATCATCTTGTACAGTATTATTATTATCATTATTATTATACAGTATACAATCTCTTTTAACATTTCCTACTTACATTTCTCAAGGGATCCTGTTCCAGTGGATCCTGTTCCAGTGGATATAGCTCCTGGTTTGACACGTGTAGGTACTGGAATCTCATAACGCTGTTGATACTGAACTATTTCTTCCGGATATTCCAGATCACAATCCTCAAACCACTTTAAGACATTACTCAAGTTGCTTGGATCAAAAACAGGCTCAGGGTTGACTTCATCTGGTCGTGGCTGGTTGTTTACGAGCTCCAGAAGATGACAACGTGACTCTATATTGTCGATGCTGTGACTGTCATGCAAAACCTCAAGTCTGACATGATCTTGCAATTCTCTATAATTGTCTTCACTCATTGATGTCATTGCAATGGTGAGTGTGAGCCACATGTCCAGCTTTGGATACTGTTCATAAATTTCTTTCTCTTTATCAGGAGTCACGGCAGGGAGTTTACTTCGTTGTTTTCTGATATCTTTATTCTTCGGCTTATAATTCAATCTAGTGAGGATAAGATTCAACAGTAACGGAGCAACATCTTGAGGTAGCATAGAAAAGAGAGCGTTAAGTATGACCTTCCTCGTCTCGGCATCCTTTGCTTGAGATCTTATCTGGTCCTTACTGACACCCAGGGCAAACTCACAGACATACTCGATGCATCGCAGGTTATTATCACTAAGACTAGGATTTAGAAGGTCCAAGAGATGACGTAGTGGCTCTGAATCTGGTGTAATGGACTCGACTTCACTGTCATCCTTTCTAGCCATTGCATTGCTCTCACTGTCAGCTTTTTTTTAATGCACGTGATCATTTATTGTTTATATTGTATTTGTGGTTAATAATGCAATGACTAGCTAATAATTGTTTTTGTTTGTCATCAATAGACTTTCTCCTAACACAAGATGAGCTCCATTGTCTCAAGTTAGTTGCTGTCCACGGGTTAGGCCTGCAGGCAGCTGCTACTGCTACAAACTTCGCATCAATCTACACCTCACTGGAGAAGAACCATCCTAGCACTGCTCCAGCCATTGCCCTGTCTCTACTATGCAGACTGGGTCTGCCTGAGTGTCTTCTGTTCAAGTTAAGAGAGAAGTCCCAGTGCCTCCCTACAGATATACTGCTCTCATCCTTTCCAATGGCAGATCTCATACTAACACTGTACTACATCATAGCTGATATGAGAGAAAAGGAATTCAATCTATTCAGGAGAATAGCTGTCGTGTCCTTCTTTCCACAACAAGATCAGTCTTCTACACTCACTCCTGCTAATCTCATTGCCCTGATGCTTCAACATGGTGTCTTTAATTCACAATGATTTGAATTCATATTCGCATGGTGACGCCATTGTCATAAATACAGCCTACAAGCAGTAGAGATAATTTCTCATACATATTGATGTCCTTATACTGTGTCTATAATATTATATGTAGTCACTTTTTAGTCAGTTTAATCAGCCAGCATAATGATTACTGAGGGACAGGATTAACACAATGTTCATGATCATTGCGCATCTCTCTATAGCATAGTAGACTTTATAGTGAGAGAATCACAATTAACTGAAGTGTACTATGGTGACATCTGGTCTGGTGTTATCATAATAAACTAATTTCAATGTTATCATTAGGTTACTAACTGGTAGTATACTGACAATCCCCTTTAGGCTTAACAGCCCTTGCTAGGCTGCTCTTCTTCCTCTCTCTCTCTCTGTGTCTCCCTTGACTCTGAACTACAAATGGCTAGTAGACTTGCTAAGACCAATTCTTCTGGAGATGATACTGTCACTAAATGGATATGGGTTGACTCACGCAAG